CCCCAAAACCCCAAAACCCCAAAACCCCATTAAGAAAAATATTGATAAAATGTTGTTAAAGATGAATTCTTAATAATCATAATATTTTTAACATTCTAGGAGCAAAATATTTAATAATTCGTTAAAATGAGTAAACTTGCGGTATTTAAGTCTAACAGAGCCTAGAGGCCAAGTTAGCATCAGAATGAGAATGCAACTCATAACCCTTAGATTTATGAGGAAGGTAGCAAAACTAATAGAGAAAAAGGATCACTAAGATACACAGCTAAAGAACATATGGAGTACTTGCAGCAACTACAAGATCAGCAAAAACATATTCATAAAAGGAAAAAAAGTAAAAAACTTCTATTATTATCATCCTAAAATTAACTTTAAAATCTAGGTTTAAAGCAACAAAAAAGTGTTCTTGACAGTGTTTATTAGACATGCAGAGATTCAGCAGGCTAGAAATCTTAGATGTTTGATATCGAGACAAGTTCATAAAATCATGTCGAAAATTTCGACGGTAGCATATTCTAAAGTACTAAAAGACTTCCTAAAGAAAAGCCGCTGTCTCAAAATTACAAGTCTAGTAAAGTTCAAAGCAGCTATATTCCTTAAAAGCCTTTTACAAACAATACGAATAACACTATAAATACTTCGCAGGCTTAATAGTAAAAGCAACCAAATCTCTTTAACAAGGCAATCATAAGCAGTCGACAGCATTTGTAACACTAATAATAGTAGATCTTGTAACAGCAATTACAAATTCAATCTTATCAGACATAGTAGTCGCCTTATTAATCTTAAGAGTTACAATCACACAGGATATCTTAACCTCTAGAGAAGCCAAATACTCATTATAAGCTATTAGAGCAAAAAAATAATAGCTTAAATGCTAGACTAATCAAGCGAAATTCGATGTCTAACCTGCAATGCTAAGTAGTTAAAAATGGACATGAGACATTGAAGACAGATAACAAACATTAGAAACTTGTGACAAATAAAAGCTTAGCTTAAATTGAAACTATGAGTAAAGATTTGCATGAACATATCAAATCAAACAATAACACTAGAAGATCAAGCAATAATCCAAAAGAAAAGACATTAAATAGGATTGTGTTTAACAACGATTCGAAAAGATCATCAGTTGATAATGGAATGATGAGAGTAAAAATTGACTTGGAAACAAGTATGGGGCATTAAGAGGATGAAACAATGATGAAATTTATGCATTAAACAGATGATGTAGACGAAGCATAAAGAGCTCAAAAGATTAAAAATTTATCGGATGCATATAATCTTAGAGACAGCACTAGCAGGCTAAATATTGATGAACATATATCAAATGAATAGCTTTTCAATTAGCTACGAGTGAATAGAATTGCCCTTGATCTCCATACAAATAAATCATCAGCTTGTAATTTTACTGGTATCGACTATACGCCTGCGATGTCACATAAGCCTCAAAAGGAAAACATGTTCGTCTTAAAGTAAAGTTTAGATGAGCATAAGGAAAACAAGAAAATTTATGATTATTCAGTGGCATAACAGGTTTTGAATAGTATTAATAGTCACAAATTTAGTGATAATGTAAGCAATCTGGCTGTATAAAGCCAAAATAACTCTAGCAAAAATAGTCAGATCGATGAGAAGAAATAAAACAGAGTCTTCCTTCACAAAACTCTATTTGAAGATGAAGTCATACAGAGAGAATCCCCAACAAACAAAATATTACATTAATAAGTTAAATGCATGAATTGCCAACTTGAATAGCAAAAGCATTACTAAACTAAGCAAGCATTAGATAAAGCAATACAGCTTTCTAATATCCTAATGTCAGAAATAACTAAATTAGACGCTAAATTAGCTGATATGAAAAAGACAATTGATAGACATTAATAGATCAACTATGCTCCAAGACCTGATGCATCGTAGTTTAAAGAAAGCATGGTAAGCTCTTCATCAAACAACATTTTTAACAAAAGCAAATCATCTAAAGAGGAACTTAGGTCTTTAACCAGAATGCTGAAAGAATCAAGAAAATCTATCCATAATCCAGAACCAATGTGCTTAATTAAAAATCCAAGAGTTATTAAAAATCTTTCCCAATCACCCTAGAGGAATGACAGTGAGCTTAATCTATAACAAGAGGAAGAATTTGATGAGGATTATATGCAGAAGAAGGTTATGAAGCTTTAAGAGGATGGGCTTGAATTCAGATAAAATATACAGCAAATGATGAATAACTTTGCTTGCATTAAAAACAGAAGGCAGAATGCAGACTCAATCATAAGAAATGCTGGTAATATAGTATAGGAAATCATGGAAACATCAGGATCGATAACTCAAATACAAAGTCCTACAATGGCGAACATAAGAAACACAAAGAAAACTTAGAACTTCAGGTACTCTAACTCTAAAAAGAAAAAGTATAATGAAGCTTTATTTTGAAATTAATTCAATTTTAACACTATTAATTAAACATATATATTAAAACGATTTAAATTTTAAAATGGAAAATAGAGATCCAAATATTTAAAATATGTCAAGGAGTCGATAAGAGGTACCAAAGTCATTGAGAAGGAAATCTGAATATCCCTGAGAATATATAAATGCTAATCATCATAATTAAATGCCTCTTTAAAAACTCAACAAAATCAGACTAAATATAGATACGTTGAGGGTTGTCATTTCATTTTTAGATCTTAATATAATTTACTCGAAAATAATATTCCTTACATCCGATATTTACCTTGACTTTAAAAAGAATAATGTCCTTTAATTGACTTAAAACGTCAAGTATCAAGTTAAAACTTATCTTGACTCATCAGAAATCAATGCTATTAGCACTATTCTGAACAGTATAATTAATGTTAAAGAAATTGATATTACTTGCAAACACAAAATCACAATTTAAAATGGAAGTATATTAGAATTTCTAAATAGTGATAAACTCACTGATCGAACGAGATTATCTATAAATACTCTTAAATTCCCATTCTCAAGAGAAGGGTATTACCAGTTTAACTAAAATATTCTAGATTTTAAACAAGCCTTAATCAATTTTAAAAACCTTGTGAGTTTAAATGTGAAATTTATTGATAATTTAGATCACAATATTATTACTATAATTCAAGATAGAGTGCCTAATCTGAAAGAGGTTAAACTTATTTTCAAGGCTCCTAATGATGAAATAAGCTTATATCATGCTCTATTTAGATTTATTTAGAATCAAGGTATGCGAAAAGTTGTTTTGAGATAAACAGAGTGGTCAAAAGATAAAGAATCTTTGTAGATATTTGAGTTCTTTGATAAATTTCCTGTTGATATTAGTAAAAATTTACACACCCTTAAATTAGACCTACCTATAAATATTTCTCAGGAGCTACAAAAAGATTTCTATTTCTTTATAAGAAATTATTAAATTAAGAAACTTGGATTGCCTAAGTCAATGGCAAAAAAAAGTCAAAATTTCCTATAATTGATTTAAACTAATGGACTTGATAAGTTGGAATAACTTTACTTGTACCCACTTAATATTGACATACAAAGTAATGATCTTGAGGTAAAAGATTATATTTCAATCCTTGATAATTTGACAAAGGAGACCTACTTTAAAAATCTTAAAAAATTAAGGTGTTCATTGATGTATCATAAAACTTATACTGATTTAAAGGAAGATTTAAAGCTCATGTAAAAAAGAATTATTAAATTAATTACGCTCAAATGTATTGAAGATTTAAGTTTCGATTTCTTTAGAATTATAGAAGATAAGGAAGTTCTTCAATTCGCTAAAAAATTATCAACTCAAGTGATTGAGAATATTGAAAAAGTAACAAATCTTAAGAAAGTTAATGGCTTAAATGTCGGCTATTATCTATAAAGTAAAGCAAAATATATTGAAATTTTAGAGCCATAGAAGTAGCTAAATCTATTCTAATACTAACTAATGATAAATTTAGTTAATTACCAACTCGATAATGGTAGTTCCATCATAATGATGATTGGTTAGTAGGAAATGAATTACACTAGATCAATTCTTAACTAGCTAAACTAGATTCACGATATCAATAATTCCTCTTCATCAATCTGGTTAAAGGACTACATCAATGAACTCTTGTTTGTCAAAACTTTGAGTGTCTATAATTTCTCATTCTATTTATAGGAAGAATTGTCACTCAATAAAGAATAGCTAAAAGGAGAAGAAAACTTAAAGATTGCTAACATTCAGAAATAAATGCTTGGCATTTCATAAGATCTCTAATAAAAGTTTAATCCTTACTTTAAAAGGAGGCTTAGAAGTTTTTCAAATCTTGGGATAAAATCATAACTTGACTCTATAATCATTATGAGTTCAAGTGGTTCTTGTTTGTCTACTCTTATTTTGGATTTAGATAAACTTCAAACTAAATTTAATTAGGATATTCTAAGGACATCAGTGAGTAGTCTTAAAAGATTAGAGAATATAATATTGATATCTAAGGAGAAGGTTTCATTTAAGTTAATAGCATAGCTTCTTGACATCAATAAAACTATTCTGTCCAAGCTTTGCATAGATTTTTAGCTTGATGAATCGTTTATTAAACACTTTGTGACTTTGATTCTAAATATGGAAAGATTGAGGCATATTCATCTTACTTAATAAACTAATCTTTAAGCTCTTAGTTAATCAAGCTTAGCTAGTCTAAAATAGATCCTTTCAAAAGATAGCTTGAAATATATCATAATAGATAGTTTCTCTCTTGACATAGATATAGAAAATCTTATTGGCCTGTCTTAGAATCTTACTTTCCTCGTACTTACAATTAAGACTTACAACAGATAAAATATAATTTAGTATTAAAGATTCATTTTGGAGCTCTCAAAGAAAGTATATAATCTGAATAACTTGCAAGTGCTTAACATTAAACTCTCTGTCTAAAATCTCAAGCATTTCTTTAATGTGGATCCTGTCAGATTAAATTCCCTCTTTTAGCATGACAAAGATTTTATTAGTATAGTGGTTGATGTCTTGGCCAAGAACAAGGATACTCTAGAAGTCTGGAATTTGTTTTATCCTATAAGATCAGCATACCTACCTATTTTTACTACTAAAATTATTAATGCAGCTCTCAAGGAGAATCTTATTCTTAAAGTCTTGAACAACCTAGATATGAGAAGTATTAGAGAGTTTTATATCAATGAAAGTCTCATTAGTACTGATATCGACGGTATGTATTCAAAACTTCCTCATATCAATTCATAAAATGGAGAAGTGCTAATCTACGATAACTACAGGTTCAATCATTCCTTAACTACAATAATGGCTAGTTTTATTGCTAAATTGATTGGGACTGTTTGTAGTTAGCAAGCAAAGAATCATTAGTCAGTATTAAGTCAAATTTCATTCGATGGCGTAAATATATTATAACTAAAAGATATCTTAGAAGGTATTATAGATCAAGAAGGAGTATTCGATTTTAAAAAGTTTACAAGGGATGTTCTCAAACAGCATGTATTACTTTAGAGTGATATTCAGATTGTCTTAGCATTATTATTTGCAGACGAGGAGAAAATATAAAATATCAAACAGTTAATATTCTCTATGCCAAATATTTATGAGATAGAAATTGAGACTATTGCTAGTAGATTAAAGAAAAATACATAGATTTTCTCGAACATCACTCATTTAAGTTTTAAGGGGACTTAGTTTTAGTCATCTCTTCTAGATGTGAACTCTCTGGATATAAAGAAAACTAGCTTTCATGAATTTTTATTACTACCATAATTACAAAACTTAAATCTCAGTTATACAAATATCTTCCATGCCATGTCTGACGAAATTATTAACTAGTTTTGTGAAGAACTGAAAAAGAAAACTAATTTTAAGTATCTTGGACTAGCTTAAACTATGATCACTATTAAAAATCTAAGAAAGTATAATTAGGTCTTATCAAATTTGCCTACAAACTTAGAAAAGCTTAATATCTCTTATAACTTGATTCTGCCAGAACCATTAATGAATTTTGTATTCTTTACAGTGTAAAAAATAAAAATGACGTTTGCAAAGTGCTCTAGCAATTAGATCAATATTAAAACTAACTAAATTGAACTTGATAGTTAGTTTCAAGAGCTAGCTTAGTTTATCGTAAGAAAAAGAGACATTTTAAGGTTTAGATAGATTTAATTTCATTCTAAGCTGTGGCTAGTAATGAGAGAAATGGATGTAGATGATGAAAATTAAGAATAGCAATAATCAATTAGTAATAATACAAATTAAGTTGCAAAGGAAGATGTAGTCTTAATTGATAAATTCATTTTCTCCACTTAGTGTGTTCATGAATTCTTGATTAATATGGAAGTTATAAAGTTGAGTACATTCTCTAAAATTGGAATTTTCGACTTTAACTTTTAATTGCTAAATGCTGGAACTTAGCTTGCAGATATGTTTAATGATTTAATAATGGCAGGCTGCCTTGAGAAATTAGAATATCTAAACTTAGTGAATGTTAACCTTCAAATGCTTTTGATGAATAAAAGCCAAATGGCTGACAAATTACTATTTTTGAAAGAAATATCTTCTAGATGTGCTTTGAAAGAATTGGATATTAGCAAAAACAGTCTGATATTACCTACTTTAATGGAAATAATTATTCAAACTTTTGAGTGCAAAACTTTAACCAAGATTACTTTTAAAAATGATAAAAATAAATGGCCATTGAACTCTAAATAATATGTTGATTTATAACGGCAATTAGAAGGATTGTTTTATGAATAATAAAGAAAATTTGAAATAGACAGATTAAATGATATTATAAGATTTTTTTGATTAATTTAATTGATATCATTGATACCTCTAGGACTTATAATTCACTCGCGGGGTTTTGGGGTTTTGGGGTTTTGGGG